AGAGAACATGGTCAGGCTTGGAGGGGCCCGCCGTACATATGCAACCCCCCACCCCCACCCCCGCCCCGGCTTTTCATCACGGCCGGTTCGGAACTAATCCTTGTGATTTCCCCGTCAGGCGGGACAAGATGCGTATTTATTTATTTGCTTCCCGTATTTCCTCCGCTCGGTCTGTGGCAAGAAGATAAGACGGCCGAGGAGAGAGCCCCCCCCCCCCGCCCCGGCTTTTCATCACGGCCGGTTCGGAACTAATCCTTGTGATTTCCCCGTCAGGCGGGACAAGATGCGTATTTATTTATTTGCTTCCCGTATTTCCTCCGCTCGGTCTGTGGCAAGAAGATAAGACGGCCGAGGAGAGAGGGCAGCAAATCAAGCCCCCCCCGCCCCAAGAAAAATAAATAAATAAATAAATAAAAACCTAGGAAGTCATCCTCAAGGACAACAACTTCAACGCGGGCCTTTACGAGCGTCGGGAGTGAAGGTTGGCGAGGCTATCGGGAGGAGCAGCACATGCTCTCCCTCGCCGGGCTCCTCTTATCTTCCGATAGAAGCCGAGAATGCACCTCACAGGAGTGAGTGACACCCAGCAGGGGGGGTCCGGCGCGCAGACCCCCCGCCAGGAGAGACGCTCCTCACCACGTCCTCGCTGTTCCATCTGATGGATTGTGTTACACACGTTACCGAGTATCTCGTGCGCCGGGTCACTTGAAAAAAATGGCAAACGGCGTGAATGTCGAAAAGCTGACGTGAAATGCTGCAGAAGTCGGTGACGTGGCGAAATGCGAGACTCAGTCCAGAAACAGAGAGGGAGGAGATCAAAATTGAAAAGGATTTCAGCCCGAATGAGCGTAACATTCTGAATTTGGAAATGATTTGACTCCAGAAATGTGCAGGCGTAAATGCCTAAAATAGCACGGAAGCATGAGAATTTGATGCTGAAAATTTGAAAGGAAGAAAATTGAAAAAAAAAATTGAAAAGAAGAAAAAAAAATCTAATAATTTTGGAAAAAAAATTGAAAAAAAAATTTAATTTAAAAGAAGCACATTTTGAAGTCAAAGTCGCTCAAGAAATGTGGAAGCTGAATTCATTTGCGTTCATTTCAGAATTTTTACTGCGAAAAGCGCACAATTTTGGGGGAATGCGGGAATTATTGAAATGTGGAAGGAAGACAAGTCGCCTGGATGTCCTAGAAGGAAATCAATATGTTCAAGCTGGAATATGCTTTGAATGGGCGGAGAAAGGTGGCAGGTGAACTTTTCGAGTGATATGCTCTTCAACTTTCACTCACAAAGAAACCCCTGCAGAAAAGTGAAGCATAGAAATTTTCAAAACAAAACAGAAAAACCCGCAAACAAAGACCAAGAAGTGAGTCCTCCTCTGAAAAACATCATTTTGGAAAGAAAACCAACAAAAAGGGGCATGGCAAGGAATACAAGAAGAAAGACGAGGAGCAATTCCTGCAAAGAACAAGAAGAAAAAGCCAGTCCCTCACAAAAGGACAAGTGAGTCCAAAAGAAAAAGAATGGTCGCAGGAAAGATGAGGAAGCAAATTCCTCGGAAACGAAGCAGAAGATGACGATTGAGAGGAACGAAACGACGAGTCCCATGGGTGAGGCTGGAGAGAAAGAAGCGACTCGTAGTCGCGCCAGCGAGACGGCTGCGGGGCAAAACGTGGAGTGCGTCTGTCATCAAACCGCAAGTGATGTCCTTTTTTGGTGACAATTGGCTTCTTCCTTGACAATCGCACCATGTTTTCGTGGTTCAAATAAAAAAACAAAAAAACGGTACTCCGTCATTTCGTACATCCTGAATTGGATGCCAGCCAATCATAGGGCACACATAGACAAACAATCACAACTCCGGATAATTTTAGAGTGTTCCATTAACCTGCCACGCATGTTTTTGGAATGTAGGAGGAAACCGGAGTACCCGGAGAAAACCCACGCAGGCACGGGGAGAACATGCAAACTCCACATAGGAAGTCCAGAGCTGGAATCAAACCCGGTCCCTCTGCACTGTGAGGTCGACGCGCTAACCACTCAATCAACGGGCCGCCCCCCCCCCACCCCCCCAGCAAACAAATCAAACAAAACGAAACAAACAAAAGTTCTCTGGAAGAATTTTATGAAATCTGTGGGAAAAGTCTCCAGAAAATTGAATGGGGGTGGGGAAGTAGTTGCACTCTCGTCCGATTTCTGCTTCCCCGCCTGATAAATGTTGACAGTGTGGATATGATCTTCATCCTCTCAGGTGCAAACATGGCGCGCCCACACACACAAACACACTTGTTATCAGCAAACATGCTCGGCAATCGTTCGCATAGCGCATTCCGAACTTGAGCCTTCAACAGCAGTTGAAGCAAGTCGTGCAAGGTTACTTTTTTTTTTTTCTTGCTGCCTTTTTTTTGTTCTCAAATGTGACAAAAGTCCAGAGTGCAGAGTTGACATAAATCTCATTCATCGCTGGAATTGTCACCTGCTGGCCATGTGGGAGAATAAACTCTCGCACGTTATGAATTTTGTCAAACATTCCACACAAAACTACCCCAAAAGTTCAAAACAGCTTTCAAATGTCTTCAAATTACGGTTTCATGTTAGCGGGACCAAAGTTAGAGTTTCAAATTAGGCTTTCGAGCCAATATTGGAGTTTCTAATTAGGCTTTATTAGGGGTTAAGGTTTCAATCTAGAGTGTCAAGCCACGGTTAGAGTTTGAAAACATGGTTATGGTTTCAAGTTAACCGTCAAAGTAGGACTTTAAGGCTAAGATGATTTCGTGTTAAAGTTTGAAGCCTTAGAGTTTTATGTGAACCCTCGACTGCTACGTTAGCTGGGCTAACCGGTAGGAAAAAAAAGATGGCGGCGCTCACCTGTCGCTGTAGGCGGCGGTGGTGGTGGGCTGGGCGAATCTGTACGCTGCGTAGCCACCCTGAAAAACACAACAAGAAACCATCATCGTTTCAGACAGCAGAGGGGGCGCTCATATGCTGACTTATTTCAATTGCAACCAGAATGAACACGGGGCGGCCTTAAATACGCGGTTGCTGGTGAGGTCGGCACGGTGAGGAGTAAATGACAAACCGGGCTGTCTCGAATCAAGTGGTCAAGAATCAAGTCATCCTTATGGATGCAAACGGCTTGCTAGTTACTTGAAGTCACCACAAAATGAAAACAAAAACAAGATACTGTTTGCGCCGATGTAATTTGCTTTGCTTCAAGACGTTAGCGCATGGGCGTCAAACATACGGCCCGCGGGCCGGAACCGGCCCCCAAGGAGGTTCGATCAGGCCCGCAGGATAATTTAAAAGTGAAAAGATACATAAAAGACACAAAATGAAAAATTTTAATAAGCTGCAATTCATGGATCATCCGCTAGGGGGGGAACACTGTTTTGATCAGAGTAGAAGACAACATTGTTTTGATCAGAGCAGAAGACAACAGCAGTCTCAGTCGGTCACTGAGACAGACCCAACACAACAGTAAAAGACAGCTACCTAATTGCTAGCGAAATAGCATTAGCATCAAAGCCGTATTCCGATGGTGACTTTGTTAAACGATGCATGATGAAGGCGGCTGAACTTGTCTGTTTCGAGAAGCGACAAGCTTTTGCCAACAAAGGAAACGCGGGTGGGGTACATTGTAGGACAGAACCCCCCCAAATACGTACAATACAGTATCGGATATGTATGACTTTAAAATCCGCGAAGGGAACCGCCCATCTGACGAGGGAGGACCGCCACGGCTAGTGTTGAGGCTTTGTGCGCGAGCAGAGGGAGGCCACGAATCAGTTAAACATTTGACTGAGCAGCCAAATTCGCAGCATTTTGAGAGTGAAGAGGCACCCGCTGCATTATTAAACATCCTTTTTCTTTCCCCGACACGCCACCGGCTTGCCAATCAAGTAAGACGGTGGGGGGGCGGCGGGGCGTGGTGACAGCAGGGCGGCGGGAGAGTGTTCATTTGCCAGAGTGGAAGGAATTAAGGAGCTCATTGTTGGGGCGTCGCGCTAACTCTGTGAAAAATGGAGCTGCCCAACTTTTTTCTATTAACGGCCGCACATCTGGGTCCTGCGCACCGCTCGGGTGCTGTTTAATAATGCAGCGACCGTTCACTTTCAGACTCACAAACCTTTTCAGGTCAGAGGTTCACGCCGAGCCCGATGGGTCTCCCCAGCTTTCCCCTTTTGGGTTTGTTTGTTTTTCTGCAGGGGACAGGAAGTGGCGGCCGGATGACTTCCTGCGGGACAGCCACGCCTCGGGACCGATTACAACTGCAGCCGCGGTCCGCCGCAAACTCGGGGCCATAAATCACCACCGCCGGCGTTGTCAAATGGTGCACACGACAGCGCAGCACATTTGTTATTGTGTCGTGGCGGGGCGTGCATGAGACACGCACGTGCACACGCATTAGCATAAATGACATATGCGGCGGAGATGTGCGCTGGTTTGTTAGCAGGTCAGCAAAGGGAGACGCTTGCTGGGATGGCGAGCGCATGCCGATCACGATGACACTTGGTCGGGATGGTGCTGACGTGACGGCAGATGGTGATGCTTGGTTCATGTCAGATCAACTATTTCACGACCATTGAAGTTTCTGCTTTGTCAACACTTGCGACACCAACTTTTTTCGGCTATGAAAACGTAATCTGCGTGACAAATGTAATTCAACATCTTCAATTCAAAATATAACTTAAATGCAACACTACAACTGATCTCTGTCCCACGTGATTTTTGATGTACACACATATTCGATGGTACAGTGAAACTCCTCTACAACGAAATCATGTTTGCAGCAAGAAATTTTTCGCAACAGGGGGTTTGTCACTGTAGCAAATTTGATCTTTGAACAGAGAAAAAGATTTCGTATAACGCAACAGGGTTTTTTTGTTCTTGTATGGGGGCAGGAGAGTGGGAATGGTGTTAATGCATGAAGATTTTTTTCACACTCGAGGGTATTTCCGCCCATGTAGGTTTCGTTGTAGAGGAGTTTCACTGTAGATATTGAATTATTGTAAAGTATCATCTTTAAGTAGATTTTTTTTTTTGAAGTTTTTTTTTTTTTTAGAAGTAGATTTTTTTAATAGTTTTTTTTAAACTTATTTCTTTTCAGTCACAAATGACATTTAGATGTCTACAGCTTTTAATATTTTATTCGAAGAAATTGCATCTTTTAAACCTTTTTTTTTGTGGAAAAAATATTTATTATCAGTGTTTTTTGATGGTAAACAACTTGAATGTTTAAAATGCAAATTATTTGGCACAGATGTACTTCCTGCCGCTCAAGGTGACGCTGAGTTGGTACGGATTGTGTCGGTGGTGGTGATGACGGGTCTGATGGAGGTGACGCTGGATGCCAACGTGATGAGAATGTGTTGCCGATGACGGTGATGGTGATGACGATGGTGTTGAGAGCGGCGTGCGGGCAGGGCAGGCCTTCACCGAAGCGACGGCGTCGCTCTCGTTATCGGAACAAGCTGGACAAACAAATCCGTCATGCGCGGCGGGCGTCTGTGATAAACAGCGGCGACATCTCGGCCGCATCACGGTGGGTGGCGTGGGCTGGGTTATATATCTCTGAGGGGGATGGGGGTC